GGTTAATTTAATCACTTTACTTATAAATAAGTGTAGTTTTCAAAAATTAAAAAATGTGGTGTAGTTTTCAAAATATATTCTCATTTGAGGGTATTTTTACAAATTTTCCCTGAAAAGCAAGACTCTATATAAGTTGACCATAAGTAAAATCAATTGATAGTTTTTAAAGAAGAATTTGATATTAAAAGTTTTAGGATTAGTTGATTTTTAGTGGTATAAGATGTGACTAAAATATTATTTGAAGGGTTAGTTCTTATCAGTAATTAACTTTAGTAAAATAGATATTCTTATTTCTAAAGATAAGGCAAACGGGATTTGCAAGTTTAAATGTAGATTGTGTTAGTTGTATTCTTCTTTGATGATTGCATAATAATAGGAAAGTATCTAGCAATGTTATTAATTTTGGGATCGATGAAGTTTAATTTGTTTTGAATAGTGCACATGTAGTATATAATGATAATAACTACCCGAAGTTCTTTTCGATATATGTTCAATTTTATACATGATTTATGAGTCTTAATACATACATTAAAATGCATGTAACCAATGTTGCTTATATTCCACGGTTTGGATATATATACACATAACAATTCTTATCCATGATATATATTGGATTGAAACTCGATGGTTAAATATTTACCCAATTAATTTTTATGTCATGTATATGGAACTATATATAATTTTGTTTTGATCATGCAGACCCCTAACCGAGGAATATTTCTTATCAAAAGTCAAACACGTTTGTTTTTATTTGTGTTGGCCAAATTAAACCGAGACATATTGGTTAACAAACCACGTGATTTTAGTTTCATTCTGTTGTGTAACACATAAATTTAATAGGCACAATTAGTCTCGGTTAAATACACATAATAAGTAAAAAGATCAATGGCATTCTAAGGTAATTATTGTGGAAAACTCATGGTTAAATACTAAATGTACTTCAGTTTTAATAGATTAGATTTAGTAAGACGTATCGTTAATTATGCTGGTTGAGAAGAGGTTTTGACATTATCAAAATATAGTTTGTTTTTCTTCTACCGTTGATCTTTTTACTTAGCTATTATGCAACTAATTCCAGTCCAAATATTCAATTGAATCTAGTTGTATTCTCTTCTTCACTTGATTATCAATACCAAACATGTTTGTATTCATTCAATCTAAATAGGAATCGTAGCAAAAATATCTAAATAGGAATAAAATATAAATATTTTTTTCTTAAAAAACAAAAGAACATATAGCACAGAAGAATAAATATACAAAAACTTTTCAAAAGATTAATGAACCAATTATTCTTTTTGGCATCAAAAGATTAATGAACCAATTAAGGGGAGGATTAAAATATGAGTTAGGACTGAAGAAGGTCGCAATCAAATACAGCTAAACACGAGCGTTGCGTGCTTGAAAGAGACACCAAGTCTTGTTTTAACGGGGAACATACTTACTTTCACTTTTCCCCCACTTGATTTTATTTGCCTATTTTGGTATTTTAATTTGTTGTTTTACAACTTAACTTAATTTTCCCCTCAATGTTTTTAAGTTTTTTCAGTCTCTTCCAGCAGCCCTCCAGGTGTAACTGGGCACACATTAGCTTGGCTTACCTTTTACCAGGTGTTTTTCTTTCTTTCTTTATATATTTATTTTATTTCATAAGATACTTGATATTTTCAATAATATTTTAGAAGAGTTTTCAGTTTTTTTACCACAGTTTTTACTGGTCATATTAGAACATATTTATCGAATTTTTTTAGGATGGTGTTCTTAATTTATGATTTAATATTTTTTCGTTTTTTATTATATTTTTTGGTTAAGAATTGATTCTATATATTTTATTTAAAAGTTAGTTTTTAGTTTTTTTAGTTAAACGTATGTTAACCGAAACTAAAAACTCTATCTAAGAATCCTCTAATAAACATGACCTTACTGATTTTCTGATTTTTTTTATTTTATGACAATTCAATAAGTAAAATGTCGTAAGTCCTTTCAAAATAATCTTTATATATTGAAAATATCATTAGTGTTATCTATTCATATAACTAGGTATAAACATTAAGCAGTGTTATATAAGAAAATAGGACAATAATTAATTTACAAATCTGTTGAGAAAATCCACCGAATAAATAATTGTGCAGCGTGTTTAAAACTTTGTTGAAGAAATATGATTAAATTAATGACAAGAGAAAGAAAGAGACGTTAAAGAGAGGATCTCTTCTGACTCAAAAAGGTCTATAAATAATACGTTTCTCCTTCACACTTTCATCGCAACTCAAAAAAGTCTCAACAAACAAAGTTTCTTTTCTTTTTTGGTAATCCCCAAACAAAGTTTCTTTTTCACTTCCTTTTCTCTTCTTCACTCTCCTGGATTCCTTCGTTTTTTTTGTTTCTTCTTGAATTCAAAAGTTGCTGCTCTCTCTCTTCTTGATCCTGTTTTACTCTTAGCACAAACTCTCTTTCTCTCTATAAATACAAATCTCTTTGGCATACTCTCACAATAAACTGAACAGATGGATCAGAAAATAAGACAGTTTGATGTTTGCACTCAAGATGGAAGCGTTGATCGTCATGGTAATCCAGCAATCAGAGCCAAAACTGGCAAATGGCTCACTGCTATTCTAATTCTTGGTAAGTCTACACATACATATACTCTATATTCTTGAAGTTTTGTGTGTTTGAGATTCTAAAGAGATTTGTTTTTTTTTTTATCAATATAGTGAACCAAGGGCTAGCGACGCTTGCCTTCTTCGGTGTAGGAGTGAACTTGGTTCTGTTTCTGACTAGAGTGATGGGACAAGACAATGCAGAAGCTGCTAATAGTGTCAGTAAATGGACAGGAACTGTTTACATCTTCTCTTTACTTGGTGCTTTCCTCAGTGACTCTTATTGGGGACGTTACAAGACTTGTGCAATCTTTCAAGCAAGTTTCGTTGCCGTAAGCCTCTTTCAACACAACTCTGTTTTTTTTGTTTTATTTTAGGGTTTGTTTCTTGATCCATAAGTTAACGTTGTTTTATTTGTGTTATAGGGTTTGGTGATGTTATCTTTATCTACTGGTGCGTTACTACTTGAACCAAGTGGTTGTGGTGTTGAAGAGTCACCATGTAAGCCACACTCAACGTTCAAGACGGTTATCTTTTACCTATCAGTGTATCTGATCGCGTTAGGGTATGGTGGTTATCAGCCCAACATAGCTACCTTTGGAGCTGATCAGTTTGATGCTGATGACTCTGTTGAAGGACACTCGAAAATCGCGTTCTTCAGCTACTTCTACTTAGCTCTGAATCTTGGATCGCTCCTTTCGAATACCGTCTTGAGTTACTTTGAGGATCAAGGGGAGTGGCCTCTAGGGTTTTGGGTGTCCGCAGGTTCTGCTTTTGCAGGTTTAGTACTTTTCTTGACTGGCACGCCAAAGTACAGACACTTTACACCTAGAGAAAGTCCTTGGTCTAGGTTCTGCCAAGTCTTGGTTGCTGCAACTAGAAAAGCCAGGATTGATGTGAACTATGAGGACATGAATCTCTATGATTCAGAGACTCAACGAACCGGTGATAAGAAGATTCTTCACACCAGTGGCTTCAGGTATAGATACTTTTGCTTTAAAGATTCTCTTGAAACTATCTTCAAGATCAGCTTCTGACTCTTTTGTCTTGTCTATTGTAGATTCTTGGATAGAGCTGCTATTGTTACACCTGATGATGATGCCGAGAAGGTGGAGAGTGGATCAACTTACAATCCATGGAGGCTCTGCTCAGTGACTCAAGTTGAAGAAGTGAAATGCGTGTTCAGACTCATACCAATCTGGCTCTGCACCATTCTCTACTCAGTGGTTTTCACTCAGATGGCTTCACTTTTCGTTGAGCAAGGAGCAGCGATGAAGACAAACATCAAAGACTTCAAGATCCCAGCTTCAAGCATGTCTAGCTTCGACATTCTCAGCGTGGCCTTCTTCATCTTCGCTTACAGGCGGTTTCTTGATCCACTCTTTGCTAGAATTAACAAAACAGAACCTAACAAAGGTCTCACTGAGCTTCAGAGGATGGGGATAGGTCTTGTGATTGCGGTAATGGCGATGATATCAGCAGGAATAGTTGAGATATACAGACTAAAAAACAAAGAAACTGCTTCAAACTCGAGCTCTTTGAGCATATTCTGGCAAGTACCACAATACATGATGATAGGTGCATCAGAAGTGTTCATGTACGTTGGTCAGCTTGAGTTCTTCAACAGCCAAGCTCCAATTGGGTTAAAGAGCTTTGCAAGTGCTCTATGTATGGCTTCAATATCGCTTGGGAACTATGTGAGTAGTCTGCTAGTTTCCATCGTTATGAGCATCTCTACAAGAGATGATTTGCCTGGTTGGATCCCTGGGAACCTCAACAAAGGACACTTGGACAGATTCTACTTCCTTTTAGCTGGTCTAACTGCAGCTGATTTTGTGGTTTACCTGTTTTGTGCTAAATGGTATAAGTATATCAAGTCGGAAGCAAGTTTCTGTGAGTCCACATCTGAAGAAGAGGTCTGAGTCAGAGGCAATGAGGTTTTGGGGTTTACGCTGTGAAGCTGTGGACAGTAAAATGTCTGAAGCTGAGCTTGTTCTGTTTAATATTTGGTCTTGTTGTTATCTTTTGGGATACTATTTGTGCAAAGTTTTGTTAATATTTCTAAATAAAGATAAGTCTGATGATGATGATTCTACTCAGTCCTGTAAATTTTCTCATATGATAATAATATGCTGGCTACTAATATGATAAAACTTTGAATCAGGCAAGCCTAAACAGTTTAATAGCACAGGGACTGTTAATTGTAAAACTGCAGAAAAACAATTAAATCAACTTTACTGATTTCTACTGAGTAACTTACAGCCTGAGACGAAACCAAACAAGCATGCTTAGGTCTTGTCTTTGCACCTTAAGCTGTTGCTTCTACTCAGAATTTCTGGTAAACTATACAAAAATCTTGAGTTAACACATGTAATTACACAATAGACAAGATCATAATCTCTCTTTCTGACTTGGTTAATTATTTGGTTTAAAAGGAAACTTGTCTAGGTAGCTGGTAACTTTTTTTAAAGCAACAGACAATGGAATTAAAATGCAGACATGATTTTTGTTAAGAGCCTGAAGATGGCATCCGTTGCATGGATCGTTGAAAGTTTGGCTTCAGACGCTTGTTTGACATCCCACCGAACGATCTGAACATCAACACCAAAAAACAACAGTTTTAATATATGTATCAAGTATTAACAAATCTAATTCGGTAGCTAAAGATAAAAACAAGAAACCTTGAAGGTTCTTGTCGTTGAAGCAATGGTCTCACATTAGCCAGTGCCCTCTCAGCAGCCTAAAGGTAAAAACATCAGAAAGAGAAAACAATGTGATCAGAGTAAACCCTAGGCAAGGATTTACCTGCATTCTAGCTTCCTCCCATGTTGATCCAATTCCTTCCCCTATAAGACTCCCATTTATTGCAACCTGAAACACAGTAAACAAAGAATCAAGAGGGGTCTCAACTTCAGATTCTGCAAACCAACTGGATAGACTGATAAGCCGTGAAGAACAAACCATGTCATGAATATCACTGCTGTCTAGAATTGAGATTTTTCTATCTACCATTTCAATAAAAATTAAGACATCTCTGTTATAAGCTTTATGGGTGTGCTAACCTTAGCATGAAATTCATCTTTGTGGACAATGTCAGATTGACGTGGACGCTTAGATTGAAAAGACAGCTCCCAACCTTCCGATGCACACTGGAATTTGTTTAAGGGAATATATCAAAGATGAGAAAATTGAGCAAACAACAGTATCCAGATTAAGAAGATGCATACCACTTCCATGAGCGTAGGAATGGAGTCAGTGTGCCTAATAGAGCCTTCTAATCTTGTACCTGTAGGTGTAGAAGGAACAGGCATCGCTTTTTCATCAAGCGTGTTTGCATTTCCCATAATCACATTGCCATTAGTGTAGGGGCTTACATCCCTGTGACTTGGCCCTGTGTTGTCATTTTCCCGGGACAAATATATTTCTGCAGAAAAGGAGTAACAAACTCAAAAAAAAATGGAAACAATAACTTAACACTAAGCCAACTGCTTACATATCCAAGCCCTGTCTCAAGGGACCCGCAGCCTTGTGATACATTTAAGTTGTAAAACCATCTGTTAATGTGAAGTATCATAACATACCAACGCGCAACCATCTGGCAACTATCATATTTATTGATACATGTCTAATAAGAGCATTGGCCACTCTTTTGAGAGTGGTTGACAAACTATTGCAAAATACAGCCTAGTTGAAAAATTGAGGTCTACACCCTAGAATGAGTACTTCATGAATCAGAACGTCTTACCAGCTAAGTTCTGGATAGAATCTTCGGCAGCCTTCTGTAGGGCTTCTCGTCTTGATTTTCCAATCCCTATTCCAACTTTTTTACCACAAAACCAAGCCTGCAGAGAAAAACATAGTTTAAATGACACAGTCAACAAAAGTAACTCATCTGAGGGAAGAGAGCATAGGTTCCATCAAATTTACTCAGAGCATACAACATCTAAGAGCAAAAGCTTGGTAACTGCAAACAGATAGAAGTATGAGTACCTCAATACAGAACCGTATATCTGTACTAGCAACCAAACCCGGTTTGTATTCCACCTGCAATGTCATGGAATACATATGAATCAACTCGCCAATGGAATTAATAATGGTAATCAACTACTCATGTTCATGATCCCTCACACACCTTAGATCCACATTTAATAGCAAGCTTACGTAGAAATTCAACTGGATTCTCTGTTTCTGGATCCATCTCCTCCTCAGCAGGAAACCACCCATTTCTTGACTGCACATGTGGATGTGGAGCTTGAACTGGCGAAGGTTCACTTGGAGCAGCATCTCTAGGATCTTTTCCATGTTGCAGTATGAGGAGCCTCCTCCTGGTATCTAGATCTAACTTTGATTCAGGTACCTGACCTTCCTCACTAGCGGGAGAACTTTGCAAGCTTGGTTCTAAAGGAACCAATTGTTTAGCTACTGTCGGAAACTGAACACTTGGAAAGGCGATAGCTGATGGTTGCGGTTCTTTTTGCACGACTGAGACTGGTACTGGACCGGAAACATAAGGAGCAGAAGCCATGGGTTGCTGAACAAGAGCAGCTATTCTTGGCTCTATCTTTGCCGCCGGAAAGACAGCTGAAGATCCACAAATTGCCTCCTGAGTTAAAGGGAAAAAATGTATTTGATTCTCATCATCGAACAGAAAACACTATATCAGAAGGAAGACATGTCAACTGTAGTTAGTATCCTTAATAGATCAGCACAGAAACTTTTGTAAAACTCAATCCTAAAAATGTAATCACCTTCAGTCTTCTCCCTACTCCAGCATCAGCAATCTTGTCACTAGAAAATGGATCTTTGTTTCCATCTGTCTCGTCCTATATTGAAAAGAGAATAAGCTACTGGGAAGCAGTCCTGGAAGAACATAATTTTTTTTATCTGCCCAAAATTATTCATTAACAAGACTCATGACTAACCTTCGACTCCAAGTAATGGCTTACATCAGGCGGTGATGGAATATCTTCAACATCATTCTCATAAAACATTTTAGCAATCCTTGGTAGCAGACTACCATCGAAATCCCTGTTACCAAGTTCAAATACAATTTCACCGTCAGATTGTACTAAGGAAGCACCCTTGACTCAGTAGAGATAATCAAAATTCACATCTTACTTGAAAAATCCACCTCTGACACCGCAAACAAGAGTTGTGGCAACGGACAGTACCGGTGTTGCAGCTGCCTGCAGACAAAAAAAAAGAGCTATATGTAACACCAATCATTTAAAACATTCAAGACTACGGATGGATGATGATACGAATTGGACCCAAACCAAGCCAACAAATCCCCTTGCGTGAACGGACCTTACCACAAAGGCTAGCTTATGGGTTGGAACTTAGAAGGCTTTGGTTTGATTTGTTTCCTTCTATACAGTAATTTTCAAATTATACTTACTTCAGTTTGAGGAGAATGGTGAGGAGAAAATGCAGGAACCACATGCACCCTCGGCTGATCCTTCTCATCCCAAACTTCTCGTCGATCATCAATTACCAGTGCCATCTTCGGATGGCATGTTGCATTGAGAAACACATTGAACAGTGACTTCTTAAAACCTGTGATGATGGTTAATTTACAACCATGTAAGAAAATTGATACATGACAAAATAATAAGGCATGTATAAGAAGAAAATGTGTACCAGGTTTCACACAAACAATGCGAGCCAGCAAGTCATTTGCGTTAATCAAATTCCCTTCTGGATCAAGGAGCCTCCACATCTCTAAGGCGTAATCTTTCTCAGCCATTGTGCAAACATATACTTCAAAACGCTTGCGCTGCTCTTTTGCTGTCAAATAGCTTCGAAGTTCCTCCCATGAAGACCTCAACCTCACAAGAACACTTGTATCACGTTTCTGTGTGTAAATATATAGACACTGAATCTTAGCCACAAAAATGAAGGACATAATACATATACCAATTTTAAGAATTGCATACCATTGGATTAATGCGAGTTAGGACAATATTCTTCTCTTGCAACCTTATAAGAGGACGAACAAGAGGCTTATGGTCGTCAGACAAGGCAGGAACAAGTTCAGATTGTGCCTTAAACACCTCCCCGTTTTCAACAACCAGGTCACTTTCAACATATTGCTTCAACAGATTTTTATCATCTTGATAACGCTTCATCTCAGCCAACATAACGGCACGGCGTCGAGGGTCCATCTCATTGTTTATTCTCCGGTTCAACCCCTCAATTCTAACCTCAAATGTGTGCAGGGTATTAGCCAGCACGAGGGTTTCATCAAGATCAAACACAATCCCCAGGCATCTAAGGTTGAGCATGTCAAGACATGAATCATAAGTCCCAGGAGCAACAGTAAATGCCCAGAAACAAGGACGGTGGTTATTGATATCCTCCGAGCACATGGCAACTAAATGAAGCTCTTCCTCACCAAGAGACATTACTGCAGTCTGCAAGAACCAATAATCCAAAAATAACAATTATGAAGATAACAATAACATAGCTTATATACAATCACAAGTTAGTTCAGTTGTCTTCATATTCTAGTAAACATTCCTACATGCACTCTGAGAAATGTTTAAAAAGCCTCAAACTTTATGCAACTCTGGCATTAATGACCCCCAAAATCCCAGTTTTATAGTCATACACACTAGATAACTGGAAAAAGCCTCAAACTTTATGCAACTCTGGCATTAAGGAAGCTAAACCAGGACCCAAACTCCCAGTTTTCATGTGTTTATAACTTTCTTTTTAAAGTCTCAGTAGGCCCTTAGCTGTTCCATATAGTCTACCTTCTTGTCCCTAAGACATGACGAGTGAAAGACACTGAGAGGGTCATGACCAGGAGTAGCCAAAGCTTCCAGTTTGAAACAAAGGCCAGAAGATGAAACGGTAGTAAGTACTGAAAGAGGAGTACATCTCTTGCTAGGTTGAGAAAAACGGCTAATCCTGATACCCATCTTCACTTCCTCCATTACTTTCTTCCTCCCCTGCTTCAACACATCGTCTTCTTGCTGTGATTCTCTTGGAGAGTGTATCTCCATTTCCCCAACCCTAACATCTTCATGGTACACTTGTACTCTATTACCGTTAAACATAATCCTTCTTTGTTTCAAGTCCGTATCAGAGATTTACAGAGGTTTATTTGTCTCAGCTCAAATTAGTTACTTTTTTATACAAAGTTTCCTTGGCTTTGATTGATCCAAGACAAGTTCTTAGCGAATAACAAGGGGAAAGGAAACGTTTTGATAAATGGGTAGACGAAAAGGATTGAACTTTAGTTAAGTGTCCTCCAGAATGGTGAATCCCACAAACGAAAAAAAAAAACTAACTATTCGTCCTCTCCATTGAATCAAATCGTTAATGGGAAGAGTGTATTGGGTGAAGATTAAGGTTTCTGTGGCTTTTTTCGTTCGGAAGCAGACGATATTGCGAGAGAGAAGGTACCCTAGATCCAGATAATAAGCCAAGAGACAGTTTCTGTTTTGCGCATTAGCCTTCGTCATTGGTGGATTTTACAGGGAAACTAATAAAAAGATTTTATGGTATAAAAGTAAAATAAAATGACTTTAATGGAATGGAAATATATTCATTTGATTCATTACTTGTCAGATCTGCCATGATGCCAAAAAAAGAGAAGTCAAAATTGCCATGATGCAAAAATAAATATTCAAATTTGGTATGGATTATATTCTAGAGCAATTTAGGTGAAAATCAAAGAAAGATTTCAAAATTAGGAGAATACCAAAGAGAAGAAAAGTAGGGTGCACATGGCCACTGTAGTGGTTTTAAAAAGACGAAATTGTCCTGCCCGGTGGATGTTTTATCTTCCCAGATTTCCCACTTGTCTCTTGTCTCTGACAAAAGATTATTGATACATTTGGATAACTTCAACCACTTAGCCGGGTACAAGTTCATATTACATGGATAATAACTAGTATAGTCGGAAACGATTAAATCTAAACCCTAGATCATTAAAGTATGTTTCTCGGCGATCTCAATCAATTTCCTGAATGGTAAAACCCTTAGTACTGATCTAATTTCTCCAACAGATAAATATATGATAGCTTCAGTCACTTGGCCGGCTACAAATTCATATTACATAGATAATAACTAGCATAGCCGGATACGATTCAATCTAAATCCTAAACCCTAAATCATTAAAGTAGGTTTATCAACGATCTCAATCAATTTCCTGAATGGTGAAACTCTTAGTACTGATCTAATATCCCTAACAGATAAATATAGGATAGCTTCAGTCACTTGGCCGACTACAAGTTCATATTAGATGAATAATAACTTGCATAGCCGGATACGATTATAAATAACGTCACATATAAACTTTTACTCATCTAGCAAATTGTCAAGTATAAACCTAAGAAAAACGGGGAAACCATATACCCTCAAGTCTTAAAACCTGAACTAGTACAACGTATCATCTAAACCTTAAAAGCAAAACCCTAAACCCTAATTCTTAAACCCAAACCCTTGGATATCTCCCAACCCTAATTCCTTGACACAAATCTCATATATTACAATTGCTCCTAAATCTTTAGTACTCGTCCAATACCCCCAACATATAAATATAGGATAGCTTTGGCCACTTGACCGGCTACGATTTAAAACTACGTGAAAAAATAGTTTAGTCGGCTAACCAATATATGTTGCACATCTATTAGATGGATTAACCAGATACAAAAAACTTTGTTAATGTAAACATTATAAAAAATAATTTAAGATTTTTCTGAGTAATTCAACTATGTTTCATGTCTAATATGTTGTCAAACTAGGTAAACTTTCTTATTTAAATTGAAAAATATTTTTTAAACACCTATGTGGGTACGAAAATATGGCATTCTAAATAAAAAGAGTAGTATAGTCGGCTAACAAATAAACGTTGCATATCTATATATGGATTAACCAGATACTAAAATTTTGATGATGTAAACACTAAATAAATAATAAGTTAAGAAATTTGTTTCCAGATAATGCAACTATATTTCATGTCTAATACGTTGTCAAACTTTATTCAAATTGAAAAATAATTAAGTGATGTATCATCTCTGTCAAATCCAAAAGAGAATTGCAACAAAGAAAAAAACTTCATCAATCTTCGGAGTTCCAATTCCAAGTTCTATAAATTTTTCAAGAACAAATCGTTTGTAGGTGAGAAAGAAAGAGAAACAAAGATGAAAGATGAAAGATGAAAGATGAAAGAGAAAGAAAGGTACTGACAATAAAGATATGGAATATCTTGTGTATCTCTCACTCTTCCGTCGAAACATATGCGCTGCCCGGTGGAGTTGGTCAGGTGAAAGGGGAATTCAGAAAAAGATAATAGAGTCATTTGGTTTGTGTACAGTAAGGTGTGTTTTTTCTCTTTGGTATTTTTCAAATTATGGCAAACTTCTTTGGTAGGAGTGCAAATTTCTCTATATTCTATCTATTTTTTTTGTATAATTGAATTGTTTTATTTTTTTGGTAAATGTTGTGACTTGATGTTGAAATTTTTTTACCGAAATTGTATAAGTGTATATGATTTTTTAGTTAGTTACTAAATAAAACGTTCCGGGCCTTCCGGGCCCATTTATTTCGTTTAAAGACTCTTCAAATTACTAGTTTGGGCCTAAATAAGATCAAAATCCGTTATTCCATGAACCGGAACCGACTTACCAATTAACCAAATTGTACCAAACCGATCTGAAAATACTGTAGAATCGAATATAAATCTTAGCCTCATCTACGCTTCATCTGCTCTCTCTCTCTCTCTCTCTCTCTAACGTCGCTTCGCTGACTGTGAGACTTCCTCGAACATGACCGCTGAATCAGCAACCGCCGCACACGATAATAACGTCGTCGTTTCGAACGGAGATGCTTCCAACGGTAGTAGCAGCATCACCGCTTCCTCTAAGAAATCCCGTGAGACCGACCGTCGCCGCCGCAGGCGGAAGCAGAAGAAGAACAGAAAATCATCATCCCACGCAGATGTAGAGGAAGCGGACGGTTCTGATTCTAAGGAGAACGCAGATCCGCAGCAACAGGTTTAGCTTCGTGTTCTCTTATTCTCGCACTCTATTAACGAGATTGGAGATTTGATTTTCTAGGGTTTGCGATTTGATTTGATATTTGTTTCCTTATAGGCTTCTGAGCAGATTGTGATAGAGTATGTTCCGGAGCAAGCTGAGTTTGGAGATGGTTTCAGTGATGAATTTAAGGAGATCTTTGAGAAGTTCAACTTTCGGGAGCCTGTTGAGGTAAGACTCTTTTCGTTTGGCTCTTTAGCAGTGAGTTAGTAAGTTTTATCTTGACGAAACCGTTTTTGCTTGACTAGGATGACATTAAGGATGAGTCTGAGGAGAACAAAGATGTGAAAAAGAAGGTTAACTCAGATTCTGAGGCAGACGAGGAAGATCAAGACAATGAACAAAAAGAGAAGGGAATCTCTAATAAGCAGAAGAAGGTTCTAATCTCAAAACTTATTATGATCTCTTTATCTTTTGTCTTCCTTGCATTGGATAAGATAGTACATCCTCTAGTTAGTCTCTTGTTCTTAGCTCTACATGTGCTTATATCCTAAAGCTGTGGATTTTCTGTTTTCTCAGCTTGAACGGAGGATGAAGATTGCTGAGCTGAAGCAGGTATCCGCTAGGCCTGATGTTGTTGAGGTAAAGATGCATTTATATTTTGCTATGAGTTCCAAATATGGATAGTTGATGCTTTTTCCCCCTGTTTTCTTTTTTTCTTATAAACCTCTACTGCCTTTGTCCCCCACTCTGAGTAACATCTCAAATTTGCTTTAGCTTTTACTCATGACCTCCATACTTTGTATTCATATTTTCTGATTTCATTATTGAACTATGGTTTAAGAATGTTGATATGATGCGTGAATGAGGCTTTTTTTTTTCTGTTATATCAAAATTGATCTACATTCTATGGATTTGAATTAGTAATGTTGTTGTGGCCTTGTACCTTTTTGATTATCCTCTATTAGCTTAGAAATTTTATTTTCCCTTAAAGTTTACATACTGTGTCTCAGTTTCATCCCGTCCCTATCTTTATATGGAAAATTTATTTTCTCGTTTTGTAGCCCTCTATGTTTTATTTATTTCTAACTTCTATCTTTAATGTTTTCAGGTCTGGGACGCTACTTCAGCAGACCCTAAGTTGTTGGTGTTTTTGAAGTCGTACCGGAATACAGTTCCTGTGCCAAGACATTGGTCCCAGAAGAGAAAGTATTTGCAGGTTTGTAAAATTTCTAGTAATGATGCTGTAGATAATTATTATGTTTCTGTGATTTGTGGGTGTCACATAGGAGAATTATAACTATAGGTATAGATATCATCATGCCAATTAAGTTTCCTTATACCTATATATGTGCCTCTTGCAGGAGAACATCTGTGATAAACCTTGGAGCCTGGACTTGTAGGTGTAACTGGAGAGGCTCTTTTTTTTGTTCCTTCGATGCATGAATTATTTGGTGCTTAGTCTTTGGAGACGTTTGATACGTCTCTAAGGAAAAGTGTTTTATGTATCATTTAGATGTATCTGGTTTTGTATGCATTTTAGGGATCTTGCTTTTAGATTCATCTGGTTATGTAGTAATCATAGGATTCAGTCATGTTTCTTTGCGGTTAATGCTATTGTGTTCCTTGCTCTCTCTCTTTCTTATGTTGGTGGCATCTCAACGGGGTTTTAATTTTTGCAGGGAAAGCGCGGTATAGAGAAGCCGCCATTTCATCTTCCTGATTTCATTGCTGCCACCGGCATTCAGAAAATTAGACAGGTATCGTCTCTTGGACAATGGACACCATTATTTTGATTTTCTATTGACCTGCACATATTTCCTCCTGCAGGTGTTTTGGTTTTGTAGAAATACTAAATACATATTTTAGAACTAATGCTATCATTATAAAATTTTGCACATCTCAATGTTTCACTTTTACTTTCCGTCTTTCAAATTGTACACGAAACTTAATGATTCTGTAGGCAATGGCCTTTCTTTTTTACCCATTCAACTAGATTTCTGGATGCAAGTTGTCATTTCTTCTGTGCTTTTGAGTAACTCTCTTTCTTTTCAATCTCACTCATACACTATCTG